ATACAGTAGAGCGTCGTTTATCCGAATCAATTGGGGACTGGGGTTGTTCGGATAACTTATTTTTCGGATAACCAATTATGTACGAAAAAATATATTAATTTATCCCGTGTTGAAATTTTTCTCCGTTGCGTGTCGCTTTGCGTTGAATTTTCGTCGATGTTAAGCCTAACAAAGACTATTGTATCGTTAAAAATTATTTTTTTATTTTGTACAAACAAAATAAATATATTGAAAAATATAAAAATAATAAAAAAAATTATACTTCAGATGTTAATTTAGTATCAAAAACGTAAAATATTTGAGTAGGCCAAGACATATCCAAAGATTGAAGCGCCACAGCACTGGCCAAAATTTAAATTTTCCGACTGGAATTCTTTTGGATGATTGACGTTTCGGATGATTGACTTTCGGAAAATCGACGCTCTACTCTATATTTAATTGGGCTACAATTTGAAAAAATTGTAAATTTATAAATTTTCATTGTTGTCTGTCTGTCCTTCCTTAATTTCGAAACGGAATAAGATAGCTAAATGTCTAGATCAGATATGGAAAGCATAGGAGCAGGTGGCCCAATTAACTATACTCGTACTTCCGTTCTAGACCGGAAATCACGTGAACTCAATTCAAAAATTTTTCCTCTGAATGGAGTTATATAGGTGACTGACATGATTCTGTTGTTATCTGGGAAAGAATGATGTACAGGGGCAAGACACTAATAATTTCAGATAGATTTGGGGGCCAGGGGCCGTCAAAAGTTAGTTTACGTTAGTTTAGGGTAGGGTCATGCCACCAGGTGTGTTTTGTCGGACACACCACTGATTCATACATAACCAGATAGTTAAGGCGCGAGGGTAAAAGTCACTCCAAAGTCCAGGAATGAGCCTCTCAGGAGGATGAATGCAAAGTCAAATACAAATAACAAGAGTTTATTATTGAAAATTAAGTTCCGGACAACATTCTTAAAATCCGATTCAAAAAATCTGCCTATTTCTATCTATAAAACGAGGGGGTGCATAACAGGGGGTATCCGAACTACAATATACCAGGAAAAAGAGAGCCATCTTCTCTTGTAAGTCCAGTCAGTCTCCTGATCTAGTTCCTTCTTCCCTTTTGCTTGGTCCTTCACTGATGTCCACCGGTAAATGGCGTTCGCTTCTAGTCGAAATTTCCTTGCGATTATGGCGGGATGGGTCTACTTATGTCTACTGTTGATGTCCGCCGTTGATGCCTTCCTTGTATGAGATGGTTCGTTGCAGTGGTGATATTCAGCGGGTTCGCACAGGTTCGGCCGAACCCGTTGTTAACATTTTCAAAGTTTTCAGAACCTTGTTAAACACATGTAACATTTCTCAACGGTTTGATTCTTTTAAAAATATTAAAATATACGTATTATACTCTGTAACACTACTAAACTAGAGGCTTCCGATGCACCATTTGAGCGAAAAAAAAATTGTTAAGGAAAAATTTTCTGTTAGCGAACCCTTTGTTAAATATTTCGAATGTCATCACTGGTTCGTTGAGAGTCTGGAGAGGCCGGTGCTTTCTACCGTTGTCTGCCGAGGAGCTCTGTCGGTGCCTGGATTTGTGCCTCTTTTATACGCTTTTCAGCGCAGGAGAGTTATCGTATGGTTTACTATAGTATTGGTTTGACTTTTGAGCTGAGTCATTACAGTAGCAAAACCGTTTAACTCTTACTTGACTTCATATAGTGATAGCGCCAAACTCCACGGATGTCATCACAGACAAATCCCATCATTATTTATCGATTATTTTGGTTACTGTTGTGCGTTGAAACGATATTCGATCGCCGCTATAATCGGCGGGGTGCAGGAAGTGATGTTTTTCCCACTTTTTTTAAGTTTTATTCTTTTACAAATTTATTTAATTACTTAATTGTCCTCTCATCCTTTTCCTCGCATGTTGTGAGATTTATTACCGTTAATTAATAAACTTCTTATTCTAAATTGTTTCTCTAAATCATTCTAAGTTGATATTATTGGAAATTTCTATAGGGAAGTCCCTAGAATCGGAAAAATAGGCAAATTTCCTCTTACGACTTCGGTCCACGTATAAACAATCTCGGTATCTTCAAGATGTGGGTTCAAAAGAAGAAAAAGGATATAAAATATACACAAAGTTTAAATACAATAAAATCTCTAACTAATTAATAAAAGTGACAGTAAAGTGACTAAACTAAGATTATTACAGATAACGTAAATACGTAAATAACAAATTCACAAATACATACACACATATATATATATATAGTAACAACAATTTTTGGTGGGGGGAAATGGTGGTCTTCACATAGATAACATATATTTTTTTTATTAAATTAAGAATATGATTAAATTTATTAATACTAAACAGTAGTGTAATGTTAAAAATAGATTACAGTAGAGCGTCGTTTATCCGAAACGTCGGTTATCCGAAAGAATTCCAGTCGGCCTAAAGTATAATTTTTATTTGTTTTTATATTTTTCAATGTATTTATTTAATTTGTAAAACATAAAGAAATCATTTTTAACGATACAATAGCGACGATTATTTTTTTAAAAAGTTTACGTTAGGCTTAACATCGACGAAAATTCAACGCGAAGCGACACGCAAAGGAGAAAAATTTCAACACGGGATGGGTTAATATATTTTTTCGTACATGATCGGTTATACGAAAAATAAGTTATCCGAACAACCCCAGTCCCCAATTGATTCGGATAAACGACGCTCTACTGTATTATAAACAATTATTTTCTTTATAATATTGATATATATTTTTCAGGATGAAGGATAACAATTAACTTCCTTCAAATTTGGAGGCCTGCATTAATTAAAATATTATTAAAGGACCGAACGAGTTCTGACTCCTTGCAGTTGGTGCCTGATATAGAAAAATGTTAATTATTTATAAGTCTATTTTAAAAATTATTATGTAATTTAAAAAGAAATAAATTAAAATTTAGAAAAGATATAATGAATATTTTTTCAATACTCATCATGGATTCGGCCAGGCCTACAATGGAGTAAGGAGGGGCGGAGCCCGACATATCCGACTTAGATCATCTATAGAAAAATTCTTAAGGTTTACTCTTCTCCAGAGCAGTTGACTACACCTTAATAGCCTCGGCTATTCATCTGTCATATTGCAATACATATTGCAGTGGGCCTCTCTTTAACGATCTTTCGTTTAACAATGCCCACTTTTATGGCCTGTATAAATATTTTATTATGATTGTATTGTTAAGCAGTCATTATAAAAAATTTAAGAGCTGAATATTATATAAAACTAAAACTTCTCAGGAAATAATCTATTTATGACACTACGTTAATGGAAAATATTATGGCGGCTTTTCAAGGCCATATTGTGAGCCTAGCCGAACACGTAATGGATATAATAAACATGCCCGCTTAGTGACTACGCGAAGAAAGAGTAAAAAATGAAAACCAACTCTTAAATTAAAAAATTTTAGTGAATTTTTTCAGTGGAAGTGAGCACTGTGCATGATCAAGCATTTTAAAAATTTAAGAGGGCGCGGGCACAGAATAAGAATCACTGTGTTAAATAATTAACAGTTGTTAATGAACTAAATTATTTTTGTTATCTGTAATATTACAAATTATATAATTATATAAATTATATATTACTACATTAATAAACTGAATAGACAAAATTATGATTGTTAATTAATTGTCATGGGTAATTATAAAATAAATAAATTTAGGAATAGATATCTCCAGAATTTATTTTATAAATAGTTTTTTTATTATTATATGCATAGAATGTTAACCAATGTCGCTGCTGCTGAATAAATATTATGTAGATGTACTGTACTTCTGCATTCTATCGCAGGAAGTAATATGTTGCTCACATATTTAATTTTTCTTATAATATCTGCATTTTGCTCGGCTAAACAAAAAGTTTTGTTGTTAGCCATTTCTAATATTCATCTCGATTATGTGCATAAATTCAATCTTACAACTTTCGATTTCTTGGCAGAGAATGGAGTACACGCTACATGGGGTATGAAGCCATCCTTCTTTACAAAATCTATGCCCAACTTATATACAATTGCTACAGGTGAGTGCCTGAATATTTTGTTTATAAGTTAAATTACGTATAAATTTTGATATTTTAAAGATTAAATTATAGGCAATAGGCACATGGTTTTCAATAGCAAACGTTACGTAAACTATTCCAGAATTTACTTTGCTAGTAAAATTATTTTCTGTAATTAATATAGGTCTTTATCCAGAAAATCACGGAATTATTTCGGATTCCATGTGGGATCCAGAATTCAACAAAACTTTCTCGTATACTTCAAGGAAAGATCCAAAATGGTGGGAGGAAGGAGAACCCATTTGGGTTACTGCCAAAAAACAAGGAAAGAAAGTTAACGTGTATAATTGGCCCGGATCTAATATTAAAATTCATGGAATTTATCCCGATAGTTTCTTATCGCAAAGCTGGACTACCCCTTTTAAAGACGAGATCGATACAATAGTGGAGTGGTTAGGAGACGAGGAAGCTGATCTCGTATTGATGCACATGAACAGCTTATATCGATACCCTTACTTAGCGATTGCAGAAAGGAAGGCCAAGCTAATTGACGAAGCTTTATCGTATCTATTTTACCGTTTAACCACGGATTTCCTTTTAAACGAAGTTAACATTATTATAGTAAGTGATAAAGGATCTGTAAATGTATCGACCAGTTCCAATCATGTAATCAAACTTTCAGATTACGTGAATGTAAGGGATGTTATTTATACAGGAAGAACCGAAGGAGGATCAGCAGGTTTGTGGCCAAAACGAAATCAAACGGAAAAAATTTATCGCGAATTATTGAAAGCTTATCCAAAATTAATAACATACAAGAAAGAACACATTCCGGAAGAGTTTCATATAAAGAAACATAAAAGATGTCCGCCATTACTCGTTGTAGCCGATGAAAGATATTATATAAAATCGGTAAGTATCGTTTCATTTCTTAAACTTTTTCTTAAAAAAATATTGAATAATTTATATTCTTTCAGTTTTACCAATATTATAGTCCCGCCACACAGTTTATTATTTCCGACGGATATAATCCACGTTTAATGGATCTTCGCGCGATATTTTATGCCGTTGGACCATACTTCAAGCAGAATTATGTCATAAATAATTTAGATTCTGTTAATATCTATTCAATTATCTGTCATATTTTAGATATTAAACCATCCGCACATAACGGAAGTTGGAAAGATGTGTCGCATATGTTAACAAGTCCCAATAAAATTGAATATGCAAGTGGAGTAGCATCCATAAAATTTTCTGTAATAATTATATCCGTAAATGTCATTTGTTTAACTCTAAATTTGTTTTAAATCATAGAAAATTAAACGAATGTATCTTTAATGTAGAACTTATAAATTTTAATTTTATATTTGTATGCATTGATACACTTTAGATGTCGCTAAATTTGTACTTTGGAGTTTTAGATGTGACTAGTTTCCAATTAAAGTTTTGTAATAAATTATTATTAATGCTTAAAATAAGTTGTTTTCGTCACTTGAAACTTAAACCACATAGTTATAAAATTTATAGATACATTTATTGCTACGAAAATAAATTAAACAGTGCAAGACCAACATTGGATAACAGAATTTGAGTGTTAGGAGCGTATAGGTTGATTGTCCAAACAACATACTTTTCGTGTTTTTCGGTAGGTTTTGGTTGATCGGCATACATAACAAGTGTGATCTCTAGACGTTTGTTTGTGTTATTGCTAATTGGAACAAACGTCAGAGGTCTTCATTCTACACCGGATCTGGTACCAAAATATTGGCCGTTCTTGAATGGAAAGCATTGCCAGTTTCTTGCACAGATAGCCTGTGGACTTTCCACAAGAAGATCCACCAGCTATCTTTGCGCTTTGTATTTTCCGGATTGTTCTCTAAATAAATAATGTATGCTACAAGTCTAGCTATTCTACCATATTATAAAACAGCCAATGGGAATCTATCAATCCCGTTTTGTTGCATAGAATCATTATTTATCGAAAGGAATCATTTTTTATCCATGTTGTCTACTTCGCCTTTTATTTTATTAATAAAGCATAAATAAAGTATTATTTTCATTTTATTTTGAACCATTTACTCCACTTCTTTAATGCATTGTTGAAATAATAACACTTTTCATTTTTTGGTAACGAAAGAGCAATCACCTTCTGTTCACTAAATCTAAGCAGAAGTGAAATTGGCTCACGTGACATTTTAGCTAACATTTCTGGGGGAATTTAAGCTTTACTTTTCTTTAGAGTACCCGCAATAAAAAGTACTAATCCATTATAATTTCAGCTATTAATAGGATTATGAAAATATTTACAGCCACCACAGTATTAAGCACGCATCATGTACCATAAAACACTATTTTCAGTACACAATGCATTGTGGTACAATTGTACCATGTTGATCATTGGTGTATAATTTGCCACCAGCTCACGTAATGGTTAAATAACTTGAAAACAAGTGATAAACCAAAAATTATTTTATAAAAATCATTACAAAGAATTAAAATCTAATAGATATTTAAAAATGAAAATACAGGTTTTTTTTTATCCGTCTTTAAGCCCGTGCGCGCAGAGAAGATTTTTATTCGTGTTCATTATGGATTCTATCGCGTTCCCACAATAGCACAATAGAACCCGTAGAAGTCCATCACTAATCATAATAGCGCGTTCGACTGATTAGTGATGGACTCCGACAAGCGAACGATTATGAAAATTTTTGAAGATTTGAGTCGGATCACCAGAAGAATCTTACAGACAGATCCGTCTGAAACGAAAGCTATATGCACTCTAGAAGTTCTCTTAAATAGACTCCACTCACGCGGGTTCAAAAAGGTTGCTACATTTTTGAACCCGCGTGCCATAGGTTCGCCATACTCTGTATACTGAAATATGGCGGACAATTGGCCGAAACGGTTAATTAATCATTAATTCTTGCTTTCTTGGCACAATAAGCTAACATAATGTTTAACGTTATTTTATTTTAATTAATATTTAAATCGTGGCTTATAAAAGGTTTTAAATTGTTCTACATCGTGTACGAAAGGAGGTTCATTATATAATTTAGGTCTACTAACAAAATTTATCTTATCATTAATACTTAAGAACGTGACTAATCTCAACTAGTCAGTGCCATAGTATCATAAATTATCGAAAGAAATCATTATATAAATGTTTATCTATCTCTGAACAAGGATAAATTTTTAAAGTTTAAACAGTAAAGTAGATAAATTTAACAAGTTTCCCCTGCTTTCAGTTATACAGTACATGTTTTTACACTAAATCTGCACCTAGATAATTGCCAAACTGAAATTGTTGCAGTAAGTATATTAAATATTATCTATTTATTAACTTTTTTAAATTTAATTATCCACAATATCCTAGAAAATGAAATAAATTCTATATATGTATGTCTCTTTAATCCGAAATTAAGTTCGGTAGACTATCATTACAGCTTTCAGGTTAGACACTTCTTTTATTGTTTCCACATATGCATTTCGGACTTATATAAATGCTAAGCCCTCTTCAGTGCAATACTACAAAATACTGATAATAATTGATAGTGATAATTTAAAGAATAAAACTGTAGAACAAATTGATAATGATCAATATGTCAAACTAAATAAAAATCCATATAAAAAAATAAAAAAAGATTTNCAGCTACCATCTGCAAATGGTTGTTCCCAAAGGAAAAGTTCCAGAGGTCCTAAAACTGTACCACGACGGCTGCTCCGGAGGCCATATGGGGGTGAAGAGAACCTTACTGAAGATCCGCGAGAGATTTTATTGGATCCACTGTCGTGATGATGTGGAAGAATGGTGTCGCAGATGTACCAGTTGCGCGGCCGTGAAGGGACCTCAAACTCGCAGTAGAGGTGCGTTAAGGGTGTACAATGTTGGAGCCCCATGGGAACGAATAGCGTTAGATGTTGCGGGACCGTTTCCTGAAAGTGAAGATAGAAACCGGTACTTCATGGTGGTCATGGACTACTTTACTAAATGGCCAGAGGTCTTCGCCATTTTTAACCAAGAAGCGGTAACTGTGGCCGATAAATTAGTCCACGAAGTATTCTGTCGGTTTGGAGTATCCTTAGAGATTCACAGTGATCAAGACAGGACTTTCGAATCCCAAATATTTCGGAAGACATGCTGGGTGATGGGTACACATAAAACCAGAACCACCTCGTATCATCCACAATCCGGCGGGATGGTGGAACGATTTAATCAGACGTTGGAAAGGTACCTGGCAAAAGTCATAGAGACTCAGCAAAGAGACTGGGACAAACATATTCAACCATTTTTGTTGGCATAACGAAGCGCGTTCCATGAAAGTACGTCTGTGACGCCAGCCTTTTCAAACTTTGGAAGAGAACTACGATTGCCCGCAGAGTTAATCACCGGTACCCCACCTGATAGTCCACATAGCATGATCGACTATGCGGACGATTTACGTCATAAGATGAATGACGTATATGACCACATCAGACAGTCAGGTCAACAAATGTCTGAAAAGATGAAGACCNGAAGAGAACTACGATTGCCCGCAGAGTTAATCACCGGTACCCCACCTGATAGTCCACATAGCATGATCGACTATGCGGACGATTTACGTCATAAGATGAATGACGTATATGACCACATCAGACAGTCAGGTCAACAAATGTCTGAAAAGATGAAGACCCGATATGACTGGAAGGTGAACAATCAAGGCTTCGAAGAGGGTTCCCTAGTGTGGTTACATAACCCTGCGCGCAGCAAGGAGAATTTTTATAAATTACAGCCGAAGTGGGACAGGCCATATCGTGTCGTGACTAGAACTAATGATGTCACCTACCGAATACAGAAGAGGTCGAGAACTGCACCTAAGATTGTTCATGTGGATCGTTTGGCGCGGTACTATGGATCTAACGATGCTCGGGANTCATCGAAAAAATAAATTTAAAGTAAATAAATATAAAGAAAGAATAAATAGAACTAATACCTTTTTGAAAACCAACAACCTTTCAATAATCAAAGCAGATAAAACTAAACAACTAATAATAATTGATAGTGATAATTTAAAGAATAAAACTGTAGAACAAATTGATAATGATCAATATGTCAAACTAAATATAAATCCATATGAAAAAATAAAAAAAGATTTAACTAAAATAATAAAAGACACACATTTGAAGAATAAAATAAATGAAACTGATAAAAATTACATATTTAATTTTAAAAATAACAGAACTCCAAAATTACAAATAAGGTTAAAAACACACAAAAAAGAAGAGAAATACAGACCAATCGTTGATTTTAGATACTCTGTAATTTACAATCTAGAAAATTATGTTAAAAATCAATTAGAAAACATTAAAGGTTCTAACAATAGCATAAGAAATGCTGATGAAGTCATAAATAATATCCAAAAAATAAAAAAAGAAAGATCAGATACATTAGTTAGTTTAGATGTAAAAAATATGTATCCAAATATAAAGTGGAAATCAATAGAAAACAGCCTAATACAACTGCAAATTGATAAAACACTAATTGATCTTATAAAATTTGCATATANATCATTTGAGAAAAGATTACATTTTTTTCGAATTTTTTCACCTATTTTGCTAATTGGAACCCCGCCCTTCTAGCGCATATTCCTCGAATGCTGCAATTCGATGCTCAATGTTATTCCCTGGTCGACTATCTTCTAATGTTTTGCTATTATTTATTTATTTATTTATTTATTTACTTATTTATTTATTTATTTAAATTCTTACTTTTAGATCTTTATGTTAAATTCTTTTGCATTTTATTGGTTTCATTAATGTTTGGACTAGAATATAAAAGTAACGAATCTCTAGGTAGAGAATTCAGATTATCAAAGAACAGAAGAAAGATACAGAAGAAGGACGTGCCTCTACACTATTATCAAAGCGAAAGGTTTGGTTAACATCTGGAAAAAATTTATACAGTAGAGCGTCGATTTTCCGAATCAATTGGGGACTGGGGTTGTCCGGATAACTGATATTTCGGATAACTGATTTACGTACGAAATAATAGTTTAACGTATCCGATGTCGAAATTTTTCTCCGTTGCGTGTCGCTTTGCGTTGAATTTTCGTCGATGTTAAGCCTAACAATTTTCTTCCGGTTGAATTTTGATAGATTCCATTGATACCTTCTTTTTCTTTGATTTCTTTTTCTTAGACGATTTCCTTTTCTTAGATTCCATTGATACCTTCTTTTTCTTTGATTTCTTTTTCTTAGACGATTTCCTTTTCTTGGATCCTCTCGATTTCTTTTTCCTCGATTTTTTTGANTTAGAATTAAGAATCAAAGAACACGAAGCAGCAATTAGATTAAAATACAATAATGGTTCAACCATATAAAAAATAGTAATTCTCAAATAGATAGAAATAACATAAAAATAATTCATTCGGAAAAAGATATGTATAAACGTAAATTTAAGGAACATATTGAGATTATAAAATTTAAAGATGATAATTTAATCATTATATCAAATAGTAAGCAAATAGATCAACAGTGGTACAATATAATAGGTGGCTCTAATGGAAAAAACTGATTGTAATGCATTTATCATACAGTGTTGTATCAGAAAATAATTGGAAATATATTGTGAAATTACGTATGTATCCTCTTAAAAATGTTTTTAATATTACTATACTGCATATAATTACAGTTACTGCAAAGTTATATTGTAGAAAATACACATTCTTTAAAAGTTGTACTTATATAAGATTTTATGAGCACATAGAAAAATATAAAAGTGAGTATGTATCGTATTATATTGTTTATTTTATTGGAATATGAGATATTATGGAGTAAAAAATGATTAAATTATTAATATATTAGGTTGTCCGTATAAATGTTTGGAAAATGTATTTGTGGTGATTTTAATGGCTGTATTAAAAATCTTTCCATTATTATCCGTTATACACTGTGATTTTAGAAGACAGAACCATATGTATCATATAAGTGTGACAATTTTTAAGTATGATAGTTTTATGTCAGTAAATATGAACTACACGCGAGAAATTTTGTCATGTTACTAATTGTGTTTTTTTAATAATTTGTAGTATTGCACTGAAGAGGGGCTTAGCATTTATATAAGTCCGAAATGCATATGTGGAAACAATAAAAGAAGTGTCTAACCTGAAAGCTGTAATAATAGTCTATCGAACTTAATTTCGGATTAAAGAGACATATATACATAGATCATAATAACAGCTACCAAAAGTGATATTTAGAATAAATAAAATCTGTAATTTTTCGTGATAGGAAGCTACAATTTTATTATAAACTCGTAATTTGCATTCTGAAATTTTATAGCATTATTGATTAATTCAATGTTTACAATCGTGAAATGAATAGTAAAAATTTTATATAATCACTCTTAATTACGTCCAATCATGATGAAAAATGCAATTTTAAAAATAAAGTAAGTGCTGTTATCCGTTTAAGTAAGCTTTAAAAAATTTTAAATGCAAAAACTTATATAATAGGTGTAATTTGATGATGTCATGTTATTGATTTAGGTCGTAGTTTACAGTAGATCTTTCACCAAGGTAGAAGAAAAATGGCGAGAGCAAAAATCGTTATAGATACAGATTGCGGAGTAGACGATGCTTTGGCACTGATGCTAGCTTTTAGCAGGAGCGATCTATGTGAAGTTTTGGCAGTTACATGTTGCCACGGTAATACGATTGTGGATAATGTATGCGATAATGTGTTGCGAGTATGCGAGGCATGCGATATAAAGCAGGTGAGATTAATAAATGCACGAAATTATGTTAAATTTATTCTTTTTAAATTTGGTTTTTTGTTTTCAGTTAGACATTTTCCGCGGATGTCATCGGCCTCTAATCGATCGTCCGTGCCCTGAAGACTTCTTTGGTGTTGATGGATTCGGTAATAAATCGTCAGAATTTCCGAAATCTTCAATAGGTATTAAAGAAGAACACGCCGTTCATGCTCTGATACGTTTAGCTAAAGAGTATCCGAAAGAGATTAGTGTCGTTGCCATTGCCCCTTTGACAAATCTAGCTCTGGCACAACGCATTGATCCGACCTTCTTCGCTAACTTGAAAGAGATATGCATTTTGGGAGGAAACGTAGATGGTACACAAATTTATATTATATTTATATAGCTTATTTAATTTATATCGTATATAAATTAATGTCTTTTAGCCATCGGAAATGTTACAACTGCTGCAGAATTTAACTTTTTTGCTGATCCCGAAGCTGCTTATATTGTTTTGTCAGAAGAAGCGAATTTTACGATAATTCCTTGGGAAACGTGTGAGAAATCCAAAATGAATGACGTAACAAAGTTTTTCCTTTTAATTTTCATTAAAAATTCGATAATTATAATTTATTTTTATTCTAAAATTTAAGAATATATTTCTGATTTACAGTTACTGAATAATCATTTTCGATTATACAAATCAAAAAGGTCCTTGCATGTATAAACAAAAATTTACATTTATTTATATACAGTACTATAATTATTTTTTTAATGTTAAACGTAGAAAAATAATTAGCATTTTAAAAATTATTTTTTGAAATTTTATGGCACATCAGCTTGTTTGTTGCTGCACACCAGTTGAGAACCACTGCCACCGATAAAAATTGAATTTATTATATTGTAATTTTTATTATTAATGAATATTGATATCTTACATACATGGCGGAGAACTATCAAAGATTTTAATAAGTATTGATGCGAGAATTCACAATTGTGTGCCATGTTTACACAGGTACCACAAGCTAGAACATTTCAGAAATTTACTTTTTCCTACTTCTTCACTATTTACGATTAAGAATTTCATAAAGCAAAGATATTTTGTAAGAGTAAATTTATTTTAACAATCCTTACACTGAACTACTTTGACAAACTGTGCGCCTAGTTTTCTCTTAAGCTAAATTATGTGCAGGGGCTATAAGCCTATTTGGAATTGGGTGGCTTGGGTTTAGACAAAGCAAAACAAGACCGATTTGCAAAATGGTGCCTCCCGGAGGGACTTTTATGGGAAACTGGACTCTATTTAGGTGTTAAAAATGTGATGGAAACCCGGAAAATTCCACTCAGTCAGCACGTTGGTAAAACACAAACCAGTGTTAAGTGGTGTTATATATTATAAGCCAGACCATGGAAATCCAAATAGTACAGTTTTACTATTTGGATTTCAATGTTTTCTAGGGCTGGAATTTTCGATTGGTTTAATACAAGTTTATTACCCACTCTCACGCGCAGAGTAGTGCAGTTTAAATAAGGTTACTTATACATCCTCTTTTTTTTTACGAAGTAAAATTTTTGTTCCGGCAAATTTTTGTAGCTATATTATTAAAAAACTTTTGAGTGTTTGGCTTCGAATTTAATATTTTGTTTCTTATACTACTATCGTTTTATTGTTGGTTTGTTAAGTTATGGCAACGCAACACTTTGGACGATCTGCCTAGGGGATGCCTTCCGGGAGGTCTTTGTAAGGGAAACTGGTCCCTATTTAGGTGAAAGGCGGCTATACACGATGGGTTACTCCTTTGAGGATTAACCCATCGTGTATAGCGCCTTTCACCTAAATAGGGACCAGTTTCCCTACAAAGACCTCCCGGAAGGCATCCCCTTGGCAGATCGCCCAAAGTGTTGCGTTGCCATAACTTAACAAACATGCATGCCTGATTTTGAGTAATTTCTGGAAGTGTGTGGGGGAAAATTTAACAGTTTCGGTGAACTGTACCGACCACCTGAGTAGAATCGCCCATACTCGTTAGGTCAATCCTCAAAGGAGTAACCATGCATGCCTGACCTTTATAATTCTTGGTAGTTTATGGGGGAAAATTTAACAGTTTTGGCGAACTGTACCGACCACCGGAGTAGAATTGAAAAACCATTTGATTTTCCTGGCGCAGTGTCAGACTGCGCAGGCCGACCTAAACGTGTGTGAGAACAATGTCTCGTGAATGTTTGGAAGAATTATTTTCTATAACCTTATTAACTTTTATTATTTATAACCTAATAAATTAATTTTTCAGGTTATAAATTATTTTCGGATCAAAAATTTCTTGAGTAAATTAAAATTATAAATAATTTTAATATTTAGAAAACTTC